GAGCCAGGGCACCGCTCAGGAAAGGGAGGGCGGAATTCTGTGACATGGGGAAATAACCCTGTTGGCTGCACAGTTCTGCCTCCAGCGTTTCCTGTCTGATCTGTACCACGGCCTAGAACATTTTAAACAGCCCCCAGCTCACTGCACAGAATCCAAAGATGGCCTTCCCAGCCCGTAAGACACAGCCTCCTAGATGGTGCCCCAGCGTGAGGGCAGCCACCCTCAGCCCATCCGTGTCATTACTGAGCCGGCGGAAATGGCACCAGCCTGCTGGGGCTAGGGGCCCCCTTGCCAAGCTCATGATGACCCAATTCCTTAAGAGGTATCTGTGCTTCTCCCCGCTTCCTAGGATAATTATGAAGTCAATTTACGATAGTAACTGAATCAAATTCGAAGTTTACCTCAGATAATCCTAATTAAGCAACAAAACTTCCCCAGCTCCTGCAGAGCAGCAAATTCCTAACATTTTATTAGCAATTATATTTAATTTCAACTTGAGGGAAAACAGTATTTCCCATTATCCAAACTGGGTCCCCAAACCCCTGCCTAGGATTCACTGATTGGCTCTGCGTGAGCTAGTGGAATTGCCTGGGGCTAAGACTGCCTGCCTGCCCAGGCCTGGGCCCACTCCTCAGGGGACAGGCAGGGAAAAGGGCCGGCACGTGGCTTCTCCCACTAAGGACAGTGCCTCACCGGAGAGCTGAGGTCCAGGTCTCAGACTGTGCGCCCCGTTGCCAGCTCCTGATCAACGAGGGATTTCAGGGCGATGAAGCTGTCCACAGCCACTCAGCACGAGTTCAATCCCCACCAGGGAGCTGACCCACGTGGCACAGCAGACCTCTCCTGTCTTGCCCGCTGCTCCCCTCGGCAGTGCATTTCGATAGAACTACCTGTTCTGCTCCCCACTCTGTCTCTGGGGAATCACCCCCGATACTTTGGCCTGTACCCCAGTTTTGTATGCATGCATACATTCTTTTAAAAAGACATTTCATATCCCTCTGCTATACACACAAGTTGACTTGAGAGTTATATATCCACATGTAAGTATCCACACATTTCTTATATACTGACGCAAGTTTATATCTATTTGTCTAGTAAACATGCATGTGTTTGGATCTATGGATCTTTGTATATGTGATTGTGTGTGTGTGTATATACATATATATATATATATATACACACACACATATTCAGATTTTTCATATGTTAACTATAAGTTAGGAAAAAATGATACTTGAGTATTTGACTAAACAAATTTAAAGTTCTTCTGACCTAGACATTCTAAAAGTTTATACCTAGGCAATGTGTCAACTGAAAAAGAAAGAACTTGCTGGGTTTTTTTTTGTAGTGGTGACTGGCACGGGGTTTTTGGCTGCCTTTAGGGACCTACTGCTGGCTGTTATCAAGAGAAGGATGAGCTATAGATTCGCTCCAAAATGTACTGTTGCAGTGAAAAGTACAAGCAAATGCAGAAAACAGTGGGCTGGTATTTTATAAAAGAAAAGTGTATGTGTGTGTGTGTGTGTGTGTGTGTATGCACACATAGAACATTCTAGAAGAATCCAGAAGAAACCATGATGAGTGGCCCTCCCGGGTCACAGCAGGCTAAGGGAGGAAACCTCTTTCTAAGGGCATGGCCTTTTGAATGAACGATCCATGCCAGATACATTCATTAACAACATGGAGTTGTGATAAAGGACTGAGTCTGTTCATCCTTGAACCCTGCTCTCTCTCCTCCTGGCTGCCCCAGCGCAGCGTCAAACAGCCACACGTCAGCAGGGGAGGGAGGTCAGGCAGGTGGCAGATCTGTCTCTGCCTTCTGGTGCTCACTAGCTGTGTGGCCTCTGGGTCAGTCACTGTACCTCTGACCGCTTTTCCTCTACACGTATTAAATGAAGAGGTGGATTAGAGCATTGTGGTCCTATCAAGCCTCCCTGTCTGGGCTCTATTCTAGAGGGGACAAGCTAAGACTCTCCAGTCCTTTCCTGCGGACTCCCTGGACAGGACATGCTCACCTGGGCTCCAGCTGCACCAGAGAACCTGAGCTTCTGGAAAACAAGTCGAGGAGGTTCTGGAATCATTTCTCTATCTCCCCCTCCCCCACCCCGCCGCCTTCCCTCTTTTTCTTTCTATATCTTCTTTTTAATTTTACTGTTTATACTTATATCTCACCTCCCTCTTGTTCAATGCCCACCCTCCAGAGACCGTGTCTCTGGCTCGTTTAATTAAGTTAAGACTTCGGAAAGACTTGAATCCTCATGCTGTGATCTGATACTCCAGCCCCGGCTGTTTATTTCCATTTGCTGTTCTAACACTTGAGCCTTCAGATGTTTGTTGCTTTTAGAACTTGATTGAATTTTAAGAGCCTGAATCCTTAGTTCTGTTTGTGCAGTTAAATGTGTATGCCTCGTTGACCTGCTCTCAATGAGGAGGAACTGATTTAGCTCATTTGCAATGAAATACGCTGTCCCTCCCCAGGCCATCCGAGGACAGGGATGGAGGTGTGGTTTGAAGTCAGCTACTTGGGAATATCCAGAGATACCTTCCTAAGGTGAAATCCCAAATCCAAACACATCTCCCTCTCACCCTCGCCCATCAATCCTAAATAAAACAGGGCACTACAAATGAGCCAGACAGCAGGATGTCTTGCTTTAGGGAATGAAACTAAATTTGGGCAGCAGTCAGAGAATAGGCTTCCACTTCTGAACCAGGGGAGCTAGCACTAGCTAGCTAGCCAGGTATTGAGTGAGCATTAGGCATTGAGAAGTTGGTCTACTCTTAACTCTGAAAGCAGGCTTCCCGACTACCTTTGACGGGATCAGACACCCCGTTACAGTTTGGAGATGCATGAATGAATGAGAGCGTGGAGGAATGAATGCATGATGGCCAGTCTTGCTGCCTCGCTTATGCACGGGGGGAGGGCATCTGCACCAGGTGAGTCTGGCACTTAGCATCTGGGGACAGTTACTTAAAAACCCGGAGCTGCTGGCACTGAGGGGAATGGTGCTTGCCTGTGGGCTGCTGTTAAGGCCCCTTGAGAGACACCAGGCACGGGCATCCGCGAGATACATCAATGCTTATCATGGCACCTGGCACGAGTCATTGCCAGGACTTGTTTGCCAAATGAAAAAGTGTAGGGAACACAGATGAGCGTCTCACCCGAGTAAGTGAGATTTGTCTTCCTAGGCGTGGCGTGTGCTTGTCCCGTCTCCCTGCCTCGCTCCCAGCCACCTCAGTCTCCTGGTCTCTCCGCTATGACGGACACGCATGGTCTGCAGCTCACTCAGCATTTTCTATAATCCGGCCTAAGATTTGCTGCTTGAATAGCATGTCTTCCTAATCACACAGTCACTGTTCCAGAGCTGTATGTTTCCTGTCAGTCCTCGGGAATGCGCCACAGCCCTGGCCTGCCCAGGCTTAGACCCCTACAGAGAGGGACAGGAAGCAAGGAGCCCATGGCCAGGTCTAGGAGCGGGGCAGCGGCTCACAGGGGTGGGGCGGGAGAGCAGGTGCTGGGGCAGGGGTGCACGGAACCACACTCACATCTCCTTCTCCTCGTGAAGTTTGCAGGCCTCTTCCTGGAGGCCTTCTAGCTGCTGCTGGGCGGCCTGCAGTTCCTGTGAGGTCCGCTGCAGCTCCCGGGCCAGCTCCTGGTTTGTGAGTTTCAGCTTGGTGTTCTCAGCCTTGGTCTCATCCTTGTCACTGTGGAGGGCTGCGCACTGGCCTTCTAGCTGCGAAGGAACGGGGGAGGAGGACGGGGAGGACGGGTGAGCACCCACCGGCTGCAGCCTGCTGGCACTGCACCCTGGCCCCCCAAGTGGAGGCCTGCTATTCCTCCCCACCCTTGAGTCTATGAGCTTCATCCTCCTGCTTGTACCTCCCTCCTGATGACAGGGCGGCTGCAGTCCAGGAAAGGGAATTCCACCTGCATTTCTGTCTCCCACTCCAAAATAAATGATGATGGTGGTCATCTTCTCAGTGGCTTCATGGCCCTCTCATCGGTGGACATGAGAGCCAGCCGAAATCCCTCTGTGGCTTTTTTTTTAAAGATTTATTTATTTATTCATACAGAACTGGGGTACATGCCAGAGATGCGGAAGGTGAGAGGATTCACCAGAGACAGAGCGGGGAGCAGAACAGGCAGATCGATGAAGTACACTGCTGAGGGGAGCAGCGAGCAGTCAGGAGAGGTCTGCCACGCCATGTGGTCACCTCCAGGGCAGGCGGGGATCGAACTCATGCGGAAGTGGTTTTAGATTCTCAGTGCTGTGCTTTAACCCGCTGCGCCACCAGGGAGGGCCCTTCTGTGGTCTTTTAAGGCCATTTCTTTTCCTCGGCCCTTGATTCATTTGGAAACCAGCTGGGTGGTATTCCTCATAACCCACCCTTCCCAATATTGAATATGGAGAATAAAGCTATTTATTCCCGATTTCATTTCTCCATTAAATAAATGTGATTCTTTTCATCTAGAAGGGCTTTGAATGCTAGGTGGAAATCCTGGAAATTCTTAGGCACTGGCTAAAACAGGTCATACCAAACATCTACCTTGTCTTATATTCCTAAAGCAACAAAACCCCTGCATTTTTATCACTTAGCTTTTCTTGGCTGATGATTGTGCTTTGCAGAGCTTCCAAACCTCTCGCCAGAGGAAAAATCAAACCAAGCAAATATATCATAATAAATTTAGTTTAATGAATGTGGCCTGTAAGAAGAGGAAGGAGTTACAACAGGGAATTTTGTGTGATTCTCAAGAGGCTCCTGTGTAATCAAGCAAGCATGCAGTAATTAAATCGAGTGACAATCATTCATTTGAGGGGCAAATCTCATTGGTAAAAGCCAATGCATGGTAGTGACGAGGCAAAAAATGTAGGGGAGCGAGGTGGGGCTGTGGGGTGAATGGGGAGACAGCAGGTTGGTCCTGGGGTTGAAATCGTCTTGCTGCAGCAAGGAACGACACTAAAATCCATAGGTTGGGCAGCCTTGGAGTGGAGTCTCCAGCTTTAGAATGGGGTGCACTGAAGCATAGTAATGTGTTGCTTATAACAGCCCCCTCTGTTGGAACAGAAGCAGCGAGCCTGGGTCTGTGGAGAGCTGGGTCCCTTCTAGGCCCAGACAAACCAAACGCAAGGTCAAGTGGCACCTGGCCTCTCCCCGTGAGCCTCAGCTCTGCAGAAGTGGCTGCCAGCCTGAGGTTCGCATGGGCAATTGCTCTGCCTGGGCCACTGGCTGGGGTCCCCCAGCTATCGTGAGAGGACATAGCCCTGGGCCCTGCCTCCCCCAGCTCACCTCCCCCAGCTCCGCACCCTTCCTATGGGGGGTCACCAGCGAGGCTGAGGACCCTTGTCCAGGCACATGGGAGACAGAGCTGGATAAACTGACTTTTGCAGACCTCCTTCCAGCTGAGACGTCCGTGGCCACCCTGGTGGGGGACGTCATCACTGTCTGCAGCCCCGCCGCAAGCTGCATGTCCTCAACAACCCCTCTTCTCTTAGACAGGATGTAGGGACAAAGGTCGTTTCAGTGTCCTGGAGGCTCAGGGCATCATTCAGCTGCGTCTGCATTGCCTTTAGGGAGAATCCCTAAGCCGGGAGCCCTGAGCTGTGAAGGCTTGATCTTGCCATCACCTGTGACTTGTCTTGCTAAATGGTTCCTCTCAGGTTCAAAAAAAAAAAGCCTGGGCCCTCCCAGGTGATGCAGTGGGTTAAAGTGCAGCACTAAGAAGGTAAAGCCACTTCAGCATGAGTTTGATCCCCGCCTGCCCCAAAGGTGACCCACATGCCACAGCGACCTCTCCTGACCTGCCCGCTGCTCCCCTCAGCAGTGCACTTCGTAGACCTGCCTGTCCTGTTCCCCACTCTGTCTCCAGTGAATCTTCTCACTCACCACTCCTCTGGCCTGTACTCCAGTTCTATATGCATAAATAAATAATTTTTTTTTTTTTGAAAAGGCCTTAGTGAAAGCAGAAGTGGGCTGAAGCCAGAGAGGAAGGCAGAGGGGCGCGCCAGGCCCTCTGTGGCCGACACAGGCCTACCCGCTTCTGCTTCTGAGTCAGCTGCTCCAGCTCCTGCTCCTTGGCGGACAGCTTCTGCTCCAGCTCCTGGCTGCGGGCCTGGAACCGCTCCGAGTCCTGCCATGCCAGACAGAGGGACGTGAGCCCCAGTGCACCTGGGAAGAATACCATCTCCCCACCCTGAATTCGCCTGAAGGCCCCTTCAGCGCTGAGGAAGGACCAGGTGTGGCCCCTCAAGTGGAGACAGTGTGCGTTGAGGGCACACACTGGAATGGGGCTGGGCCCCAACCTCACCCCAGTCTCCTCATCTGTAAACTGGGGGTGGAAGGGCCTTGTGGGGTGGCGATTCGGATCCATGGTGGATTCAGTCATTCAATCCTACCAACTGCCCTTGTTCTGGAAATCTGGGGGCACCTCTCCCTCCACGCGGGACTCTATGTCCCCTGCAACTGAGTCTCCCAGGCTTGCTCCCTGCCTACCCTGGAACTGGGCTTCCCCAGCTCCCCACTCAGGGTTGCCGACGCCCTGACAACACAGGGGTGAAGGGCAGTGGTAGGACAGAGAGGAAAGGATGGGGTGTCAGGAAGGTCTCCCCACAGCCCGGGCTGGTGTCCGGTGGCATAAGTCCTCACCTGGGCCTGGCCCAGCTCCCTGGCTTTCTTCTTCTAGATCATTGTTTCTTTGTTCACAGAAGAGAAACAACCCCCCACCATCCAGAGCAGTCCACTTGCTGATGTACGGGGGGCACAGGCCCCAGGGAGAGAAAAAAAGCATCGTAACCTGCGTGTAAGTCGCTGCAGCCTCCTGGGTCTCCCGCTCTGTCCCTGGTGGTGGGTGGGGTGGCACCGGGCAGCCTCAGTGCAAGGAGGCCGGGGTCAGAGAGCTCTGGCCCCCTCCCACAAGGGCTCAGGGCCTCGCCTGGACTTATGGCCTGCAGACATCACCTGGCGCGCTGTTTGGGTCTGGAAGAGTCTGCGATGACTCTTGTCCCAACCACATTCGATGGCAGCAGCAGGATGCCTGGTTGTTCCTGCTCCTGACATTCTTACCAGGGAACTTGCCTCCCTGGCTTGGCCACTGGGGAGGGGAGCAGCCGCAGAACGTCGGAGCTGACGTGAGCACCAGCCTGCCCTTCGCACAGAGCACTGAGGGGCCGCTGGGCCCGAGCCAGTGCAGACACATGACTTGGCATTTCCCTCCTGGTCAAACCAACGGCTAAATGTAGAGCCAGGCCTCCAGCCCTGGCCAGAGGGGCCGGCCTTTCACAGGCTGCCACAGACTAAGGCCACGATCCTGAGCCATGGCCAGGCAGAAGCCCGCTCCTCCCAAGGCTGGCCAGCGTGACCAGACACAGCTGTCATCCCCGTTGATACAAGAGCCACACATTTAAGCAGAGAGGCTGAAGCATTTTATACTGAGAAGGGAGAAGCAGGTGGAGGGGTAGGCCAGGCCAGCTTACTCCACGCTAATTATCCTTGGCGTTTTCCCTCTGATCGCCCCCGGCCCAACCCCATGCCATGGTCTCCCTTTTGCTTCCGGGATCTGCCTCCTTCCCTTGCTAGGACTTCTGCTCTCGAGTCATGGTCTTGGCAGTAGCAGCAAAAGTTCCGAGAATGCTCCTGCTCAATGCAGTGCCATTTGGCATGAAGAGAGCTTGGGGAAAAGGCCACCGTTTTCAGAAAGCAGGAGTGAGGTCTGCTAAGTGGGGAGCGATGAGCCCCGGGCACTGTGGAGGTCAGCCAGGTCAAGGGCAGGGACAGCCAGAATGCTTCACAGCTCCAAAAAAGAACTGGGGAGGTCTAACACTGACGAGTCTCCAGAGGCCGGAGCTGGAAGATATGACAGGCTTTTTCTGGGAAGCATTTAGACTCCCTCTCAGTCTGAACGACATCTGGGGTAATAAATGAAGTCATGGTGTGGCTAATCCAAAACAGCATAACATTAAAAATTGGTTCAAAGCAACATGCCTGTGGAGAGGGAAGGGTGTAGAGACAGCCGCCGCTCAGGGCGTGCTGCGGGCGGGCGGGAAGTGGTCTCAGTGTTTGAACCCTCTGTGGAGGCGACTCAACCTTCTTTTGGGAGGAGGTAGTCAGAGCAGCTGGTATGTCAACCTGGCCCTCAAAAGCACACCCGGATTGGACTCTTACTTTCAGGAGAAACTGCTCCTTCTCACTCTTGATCTGTTGCTCCATCTCTTCATAGAGACGCTGGATATCTTCATCATAAGTGGCGATTTTCCTGGGAAGAGGAAAGATTGATGAGGTCTATCCCGAGATGCTTTCCCCCACAGTGACGAAATGCTGGAGCTCAGGCACCAGAACCCCATCTGAAGCCGTGGGTGGTGGGGTGTCCGCAGGGGTCAGTTCAAGCAAAGGCACAGGATGGGTGCCCCGGGGTTAACTGGCCACTTAGACGCAGCGGCACCAACTCTGGCTGCTGAGGCCTTTCCGCTGTCTCCCGGCGTCACACCCAGAGGGTCTTGTGTCCCTAGGCAGAGCTGTTTTGCCTCCATCTCTTTCTACTCTGCTTGGCTCTAACCCTGTTCTCCTGGCCTGTTGTGCTCACCATCCTTATTGCCCGACGATCCTTAGGCACCAGGCAACATCAAGTTACACGTTGTGGACTTCTTTTCTGCTTAGTTTCTTGTTTCTCGCCTCCCCACTCCGTGCTTTCTCTCTACCTGGCCACCTGGCTACTGTCTACTGCTGCACTTGAGTCTCCTAAAGCTGTTTGTATGACACATTTTCTCATTAGATCTCAAAAGATTCCATAGTGATTAACCACCAACACCCTCCCTCACCCCAGCAAAGGAAGGGGTCACTCCTTTCAAGTTCCTTAACATCTTCTCAGACACTGGGCTGACTCTGGCAGACAGTGTGAGAGGGGTCCGGTTGCTTAAAGGCTGGAGATGCCAGTGGGATGGCCTCATCCCCGCCCTCAGCATCCTCCCCTGCTCTAACGACAGAAAGCAGGCACCTGTCGATCTGCTCCCACTTCGACATGTGACAGGGACAGCGTTTGTAGGTCACCCCTGGGGAGGTTCTCCCCTCTTTCCCAAGAATAGCTCCTCCCTGGGATGCTCCTCCAGGTTCAAACATGAAGGATCAGGTATTAGCATTTGAACTGAGCCTGGAATTTATCACCCCGAAACATTAACGTGGCCAGGGAGTTGCATCTTTATATCTTTTCTCTGCGTGTCACTTCCTGTCTGCTTTCTCCCCTGTTAAGGGAACTTCTGACTCCAGGGAAGAAGCTGAAGTCGTGAGTCTCAAGCCTGGTTTGAGCATCGAACACATATACATTTTGGCTCTTATCATTGTAAACCAAAAGCTGGAAGCCCCTTTGCCTTTGAGACAAATAAGGAGATTTTAACAACTGAGCAAACAGCGCTGGTTGTCAGTTCTGAAATGTACTGCGGAGATGTCTGAAAACATCACCAAAGATGGGAATGTTATTATGCTCCTGAGCCTTCTACCATCTTAACCTCTACCTCCCTGTGTTTCTAATTCCCTTGAGAGCCCAAGCCAGTGCCAGCCTTCCCTGCTGCTGAGGCGGCATTGCCTTCCTCACCAGCTACCTCCTGGGCACCATCACCAAGACTTGTGCCATGTACAGTGACTATGAGCCATTAGGTCGGTTGCTGTACAGACCACGGAAACAACAAAACTGAGCAGACGAAAGACTGGGGTGAGTCCCCTGGTTAGGGTCAAACCTGTCAGAGCACCAGCCTCTGAGTTCTCTTCCTTGACTGTGCCCCCAGGCCCAGACACTTGCTTGGACCATCTCCAGGGTGTGCAGGGCATAAGGCCATAGCTCCCCAGACTTCCACTATTGGCTCTGTGTTCTCCGATCAGCTCCGCATCCTGGTTTGTTAACCATCACTTTGCAAACAGCAAAGCCTTCTTGGAAAATGACAGATGTCTTGGGTTGTTGCTTTCATTCTTAGCTAACCCATAACAATTACAAGAAAACCTTGGAGGGAAATAACAAGCAAAGGCACATGCCGCTGGGTAGAGACCCCTCAGGGACAGAAAGGCATACAGCTTGAAGGAAATTTCAGAAAGAAAGATGGGCTCCTCTTAGCCCCTGGAATTATCTTCCTGTGCACAGAGATTCAGATGCTAGATGGCAAATGATGGCACAGAAAACTCGAGACTGCTATTCCAGCTATATAAATACTGGAGAACTAATAAAGTGAGATGAGAGAAACTTAACTGTTGATTTGGCTCTGGTAAAAGCAGAGCTAATTACAGTCATTCATATACACTGTTTACCATTTCTGCCTAATAACCATGCAGAGCATCCACTCCATACTATCATTAAATGTGTTGTATTAACTTTCTTCTAAGTTCCATTTGATTAAATTAATAAACTTATGTTTTTCCAGCTCACGTGTCAGTGTGCTAGTTCTGGAGTCAGTAATTTTGCAAACGGGGACAAAACAAATGCAGGCGAGACAGATGAGGCCCCTGGGCTTTCTCCTCCCTACTCTCGCTCATCAACACTGGATCCACTGCAGAGAAGCCCTGGGGTTCTGGGGTGCATGGGTGATCCTGGTTCCAGGGTGGAGCCTCTCAGGCACAGAACCAAACCTTTGGGGATGCTTCTGAATAAAGCTGGCTTCCTGCCAGACTACCCAGAGGAGGGACGCTTTTGAGGAGGAGCCCAGGCAGGGGCTGGGGTGGGGGGCAGGGGGGTGGCTGAGGGCTCATGACTAACGCGGTGAGGACACACAAACCCCAGGAATGGGAGCGTATTCAGACCGTATCAACCACTAGAGCAGCTCAGAGGTCAGAAAACCAGGCTTCCAGGGCATTTCCTCCGCTTGACCTGGGACACGCCCTCTCTCCTCAGAATCCAGGCCAGAAGCCAGCACCTTCCTCATGCTCCACCAGCGTTGTCACGTTGAACAAACAAGAGAGCCCCCGGGGAAAGTGTCTGAGGTGTAAAGCCCTAAATTAAAGTGAAGGGTAATTATTATACGGCTGTAGAGGGCCAAGGGCAGGAGTCTCCGTTTCAGGGATAAAGGGTGCCTGGGTTCCGAAAGGGCCAGAGGCAATCAGGAAGAGGGAGAACAGAGAGCTCAGTTGCTAAACCCCCTGTGGGCAGCTTCATCCACCCAAGACCCGCGGTGCCAGGAGCTGCAGCGCCAGTGCCTACCTCCGCGGGGCGCTCTGCAGGGGCCCTGGGAGCAAGACGGCAAAAAGGCCCTGAAAGGACACGCCTGTGGCGCGTGTCGCTCCGCCGGAGCGTGAAGGGCACCCGGTCACGTCTGCTCCCATATACATCTTTGGAGTCTCGATTTCTAAAAGCACTTAGAGCCCCTATGTACACAAACACAGGCTGCGCAGCCTCTGCTGAGAGGTGCTCCCCATCTCCTCTGGCCCCCCGAAACCCCTACTCTGGACTCCTCGGTCGGACACAGTATGTCTTTGCTGGCACATTTCAGTTTCATCTCAACAACTGTTTCATTTGGGTTTATGCTGTCTCACGGGATTAATGCTGCAAACCTGTAAGAAATGAATTTAAGGCTCTGGACACCAAACTCAGGAGCCCACGGACCCTATTTGGGAATGGCAGAGTCCAAGGGAATTGAAGAATTCCAGGGCTGGAAGGTGTATCTGATCCTGCCACCTATGTTTCCCAGTGTCAAAATCCTGTCAAAATCCACACTATCCCTATGAAGTATTAATCCAAATCAGGTTAGAATACGGAATGTTCTGGATCGCTAAGCAGCTCTTTCAACTTTGGAATATTCTGGCTCATAGAGAAACATCTTCCCATGAGTTTCCCCTCCTCTGCATAAACATTCATCACCTGGGGGAGGGATAAAAACAAGAGAGGGGAGAGAGCACAAGGGAAGATAGTGGAGGACTGTGGTGATTGTCACACCTGAGGGAGAGGAATCATATACTGCACAAAAATTAACAACAGTGTAAGAAAAAGTACATTCAGAAATATCATATATTCGAAAACATCATTAAGACTCCAAGGAGTTTGTTGTCCACTTCTCCAGCCAGGTGTCACATGGGTGTGTGTGTGTGTGTGTGTGTGTGTGTAAATTCCTTCACTATTCCCTGTATTCCTTTCTGAATGGACTTTGATTAAGTGATGGATCACCAAACTGAATGCCCAGGGTATGAAATCTGATGAGTTAGGCTGCTTATCTATTCATGCAGCCTAAGATCATATTAACTTTTCTTGACAGTCACATCATCACTGATGTTGGTGAATGCTGGACCTGTATGTCAACTCAACTTTCTAACTCATCTGTCATGTGACTGTCTTCTCATTTAATGATGGTGCTCCTGAATCATGTATCTTCTCCCTTCTTCTGTCATTGGCTTTTTGGACACAAGAGTAAGATCTCAAATGTAACTGTTAGATTCTGTGGTCACTAGACCCAGGTCATTGTTTCAGCCTGTCACTATTTTAATGGATCCCAACTGATCACTGGTGTACTTATGACCTTCCAAACTTTTGTTGACACCTCAAAATTTTAATCATAATGTAAGCTAGATGTTGGTTTGGATTAATTAGTTTATCTGAGGATTATTTAAGGGGGTGTTTTTTAAAATACATACAAACTATTGGTTTCTAGTTTACTGTATTATATACTAAAGTATTTACTGTCTTGGAATCTATTAATCTTTCCTTCATAGCCAAAACATTATCAATGTTTGCATAACTCCTATAAGAAGAATGTGCATTCCATTGTAGTTTACACAATTCAGCATCATCTCTTAAGTTTGCTGGCAGATGGGGTCAAATACTTCTTTGCATTTATGGTACTTTTTTAAAAAAAGATTTATTTATTTATAAATACAGAACTGGGGTATAGGCCAGAGGTGCAGGGGTGGTAGAAGGATTCCCCAGAGACAGAGCAGGGAGCAGAACAGGCCGACTGATGAAGTACACTGCTGAGGGGAGCAGCGGGCGGGTCAGGAGAGGTCTGCCGCGCCATGTGGGTCACCTCTGGGGCGGGAATCGAACTCATGCTGAAGTGGCTTTAGCTTCTCAGTGCTGTGTTTTAACCCGCTGCACCACCAGGGAAGGCCCTCATTTAGGGTACTTTTAACTTAATGTGTCAAATCTAAGATAAATTTGTTAAAGCTTATAAAAGTACTCTAAAGTCTTATCTTTATCAAAATTTTTCTTGTTTTTCTCAAACCCTGCCTTTTGTTTTGATGACATGTTGTTTAATGCATAAAGTTTCACATCTGTTGCATCTACTTTGT